TAGAGAGTAAAAAAATCTTAACAAACTTCTTGTCTTTACTAATCAGATGATCAAAGTCTTCTAATCACTATATAAGACACATACTTTGTTTTTATTTCAATTACTGTTTGTCTAATTAAGATGGAGATTTACATTATTTTGCCCCAGGTTATAAATTGTACTCCATTGGCAGTTTTATAACCTATAATTAAGGTGGTTATCCAACAAAAGGATTAAATCATGTCTGTCATTATAATTATAAATTTTGATCTTTAAAATTAGCTGAACTAATTAATAATTCTACTTTTTTATATTTTCTTCAGAGAAAACTTCCAACAATGTAAATAACTATGCTAAAATATACCTGCTTTTAATGAATAAAAACAAAAAAGCTAACTTAAGTCAGTACGAAAGCAAAATTATTGAAAAAACCTTAAACATATATATAAGTGATTGATGAAATGCAATGTCATCTCTAATTCATGTTGAAAGTCAAAATTGCAAGATCTTTTTAATAATTCTGATCCTCAGTAAGAGATTCCATCTAGATAACAACTGTCAACTTATAATTTGGAAACAATGCTTTAAATGCTGTTTTTTTGGTAAAGTTCTAAATTTCTACTATACAAACGTTGATCAACATAATTGTGTTTAACTTAGTTTATTTTTTTTTTAAATTTTGAAACAATGTAATTGACAGTAATCGGAAAAGTAATGTAATTACTTTTGATAAAGTAATCGATTGCAATCGATTACATACAAAAATCTGAGTAATCGATTATTAATCGATTGCACAAAATACCTTCATGTAATCGATTATTAATCGATTACATTTGTCAGTAATCGTGCCCATCCCTGAGCCAGGATGTATCTGTTGATGGTCATTTGTGGTCATAACACACTGACATTGATTAGTCAACACTTCAATCTGAATCTCAACCTAATTGTCTAATTGAAATTTTGTATTCGTGAGGTGATTATATGCCCCCTCCGGCTGGGAGTATGATGATTTGCAGCATTAGACATGTATTGATACAGTATGTTAAGATGTGTTTATTATCCCTACACTTTGTAAATAAGTTTATAAATTTGACCATTGAAAGTACAATGAAAAAGGGCATGAAGTATTTGCTTTTGACATAAAGGAATTGGAAAATAGATTTTATGTTAGCTTAGATGCAGTGCAACAAAACAATGGAAATTAGTATATAGAAATTTCTTATTACTTTTACTCAGCAATTTCTTTTATTTCTTTTATTTATTTTATCGGGATCTATATATAAGATTGTATATAGGGTTACAATATAACAACAATCCCTCTTCAAAGTAAAAGAAAATATGAAAATTTATCAATTTGATATCTTGACATATGAAATTGAATTAATGAATTGAGATATTAGAAAGTATGATATTTAGCCTGGATTTATCAGAAATATAATGTATCGGTTAATACTAGCTTGACATAACAACTTTCCTTATCAAACAGCATGAAAGACAAATTTAAATCTCTCTCTATTTGTATAAAATATACATATCTAAAAAACGTTTAGTTCTGTGTTTTGGGGGAATGTATTAAACAAATATCTTTGTTTGGTAACTGTTTATTTAATTTGTGTGGATTTGTCTTAGTGATAAATAGAATTTTAATTTATGTGTCCATCAATTTATCTTGTAAATGACTCAATAAAATTCTCATTACATTCATCCACTGTAAAATGACTTTGTAATCTGGATTTAAAGTTTGTCAGGTATAAATTCTGAGCTAGTATATTGTGATGTATAAATCCTGAGCTAGTATATTGAGATGTATAAATTCGGAGATAATATAATGGTATTTTGATCTTTGTTCTGGTCATTTTAGAGCAAATATTATGTTTTACTGTTACATTTTACATCCATGATGGTAAATTTAATTTTTAAGAGATAGCAGGTTAAAGAAGATTAAATAGTCACAGTTTAATGTTGCAATCTGTCATTGTGATATTATGGAAAAGAGGAGATAATTTGTATTAATTCATGATACTATTCCCATACACAATTAATTACCCTTGACAAAATCCTAAGCAAAGAAACATCATATTTGTATTGCTGTCCTTCATTGCAAAGTCACAGTGAGGCTTTTCAACACACAGCAAAAGTTCAAGTTTAATACGGCACATATTACACCAATTTTAGTGAAATTCTAGGTTTTAGATTTCAATAAATCTTTTTAGTAACTCATTGAGTTTGAGATAGTGTGGTGTTCACTTGTTTGACTGTAGTAGATATATGACTGATTATAAGCTGAACCAGTCTTGTACTATTTGCCTGTTTATAAAAAAAAAGAGATGTGGTATGGTTGCCAATGAGACATTTATATATAATTCTCCACGAGAACAAATGACACAGAAATTAACACTTATAGGTCACCGTACGGCCTTCACCAATAAGTATAACCCATACTGCATAGTCAGCTATAAAAGGCCCCGAAATGACAAATGTAAAACAATTCAAACGAGAAAACTAACGGCCTGATTTATGTACAAAAATTTGGCCTTTTAAGGTGTACCAACTTTATTGTTTCTCATGATTGAGTGAAACTATCCTAATTGTTAAGTTTCAAAATAATCCCCCCAAAAAACATTCACATGTTGCCCATGTACTGTGCTCAACTTATTGGATACTGTTTCCACAGTTGGCTGATAAGAACCAGAGTTGACTTCAGTCTTCACATTTCTTTAGTTTTTACATCCTGGTCTTTTAATGGATCACATGGTCAATGCTCAGATACATATTCCTTTATAACTGATACTTATTGTATTGATGATAACAGTTGTTCTTTGGGATGGAATATCATGCTCCTTGTACTATTTAATATTTAAAAATTCATTTTCATGCCCTGAAGTAACCAAATAAATTATATAAATGTAACATACTAGTTTCTTTATCCATCTGCTTGAAAAAAAATGGTTTGTGGCTGATACAATTTTCTTAATTCAAATTTTAAGACTCAGCACATTTGTTCTTTAAACAAGGAATTATTTGAATCTAGAATAATTTTGAATTCTGGAAAATTGATTGGAAATGTATGATGAAAATTAACTCAACTAAATAGGGTTAGCCATGCATGCATGGCTAAGGTTAATTTTACTTTCACTGATATTTCAGTATTTAACTAACTAACCAACCTTAGCCATGCGCGCATGTCTAACCCTATTTAGTTGGGTTAGTTTTCATCATAAATCAATTTTCCAGAATTCAAAATTATTCCAGATCCAAATAATTCCTTGTTTTTATAACTATACACTAATTTACAGTAAAATTGTGCTTATTTTGTAGTGGTACATGGTTTTACACAATGTATTTACATTCCAGTTGAAAGAGAAAAGACTGTAAAATATCACATAGTACTGGCATGTAACAGTTTTAATAAGAAAATAGGGACAATGATGAACTAGAACCATGACATTGAACACTACGTTTTTAATATTTTGTTACTTTTTGCTATACAATGATTTTCTTAGTAAATCTGGATTGTGAATTGTTTAAGTTGACATAAACAATTTTGAACAGATCTACTTGTCAGCCAAGAGTGCCCTATAAAGTAAATTATGACACAGTCTTTACAATTTTTTTTTGTGAAGTGTTTTACTAAAACAATAATCCTAAAATATATATATAATCTGCATGGGTGCTTCAAAATAAAGAAGAAAGCAAAACTGTACTTAGAAAGCGGAGATAATTTATGGTTCAAAAACAAAACCAAATATTTGTAGGAGCAGTCATAGCAGTAAATTTTATAAAGATACCTACTATAGTTTGGTTTAAGCAATCAATATAGCACAGTTGAGTTACCTTCACTTATTTTGTTTAGAAACATCATAGTTTCATGTTAAACTTTGAATACATTTTTTTATACAGAATTTACTACAAATACAAACTTTCATGCATAATGTCTGGAAATGGTTTTTTGTCCCCCACTTGACGTGTTGTGGGGGACATAGAAATACCAGGCATCTGTCCATCCATCTGTCAGTACATCCGTCCGTATGTCCGTTCTTGTTAGCGCTCTCACATGTACAATTCTTGCCAGATGTTTATAAAACTTTTATCATACATAAATTTATATCAGCAATGTCTCGGACGAGTTCGAAAATCAGTGTCATAACCCCTTGGAAAATTACATCGTTAGCTCTCACGGGTACAATTCTTGCCAGATTTTTATGAAACTTATGTTGTAGGTTTTTATCAGCAATGTCTCTGACAAGTTCAAAAATCAGTGCCGATCAATCATTGTAAAAAGTGTTATGCCCCTTAGAAATATTAATTATATGGAAAATTGCATTGTTAGCACCCTCATGTGTAAAATTCTTGCCAGATTTTTATGAAACTTATATTGTAGGTTTATATCAGTAATTTCTAGGACAATTTCGAAAATCAGTGCTGAGTTATGGCCCTTTGAAATATTTATGATATGGAAAATTGCATTGTCAGCGCTCTCACATGTACAATTTTTGCCAGATTTTTATCAAATTCATATCGAAGGTTTATAACAGCAATGTCTCAGACAATTTTGAAAATAAATGTGGATCAAACATTTTTTGATGAGTTGTGCCCCTTGGAAATATTAAATATATCGAAAATTGCTCTCAAGTCTTCAACTCTCTAAAATAATTTTAAAAAGTTTTAAAGAACAAAAAAACATGTTTTTGTCCTTAGACAGATAAAATATGTACAATGGGGTGGGGGGGGTGGGGGGGGGGGTGGGAATTTGAACTCTATAGTATCAGAAGTTTGCCCATATTACCATCTGTAGTAATGTTACTGTGTAATGAGCCATGTATCTTCTGACTTTTGAAATAATCATAGTGTTAACTGTTAAGTATTGTGGATCTCTACATGTCTTTGGGATTTTTTTGTCATTGGGTTGATGTCTTCCTTTAATTCATAATTGTTATTTCTCATTTTCAGCAGTATTTTTCTGTAAAGATATGGATATAATTTTATAAAGTTTTCATGATTCATTACATTTTTACTTTCAGTTTCCAACGGATTTATTTAAGTCTAACTTAACAAAGCATGTTACAGCAGAGGATCATGGAATGAATGTAGAGGTATGTAAAAACAAAACAAAACAAAACATGTCTATGTACAAGTATGAGATATAACAATGAATGTAGAGGTATGTAAAACAAAACAAACAAAACATGTCTATGTACAAGTATGAGATATAACAAGGAATGTAGAGGTATGTAAAACAAAACAAACAAAACATGTCAATAAACAAGTATGAGATATAACAATGAATGTAGATGTATGTAAAAACAAAACAAAACAAAACATGTCTATGTACAAGTATGAGATATAACAATGAATGTAGATGTATGTAAAAACAAAACAAACAAAACATGTCTATGTACAAGTATGAGATATAACAATGAATGTAGAGGTATGTAAAACCAAAACAAAACAAAACATGTCTATGTACAAGTATGAGATATAACAATGAATGTAGAGGTATGTAAAACAAAACAAAATCAAAACATGTCTATGTACAAGTATTAGATATAACAATGAATGTAGAGGTATGTAAAAACAAACAAGCAAAATTAACATATGTATGTTCAAGTATGTAAAAACAAAACAAAACAAAACATGTGTATGTACAAGTATGAGATATAACAATGAATGTAGATGTATGTAAAAACAAAACAAACAAAACATGTCTATGTACAAGTATGAGATATAACAATGAATGTAGATGTATGTAAAAACAAAACAAACAAAACATGTCTATGTACAAGTATGAGATATAACAATGAATGTAGATGTATGTAAAAACAAAACAAACAAAACATGTCTATGTACAAGTATGAGATATAACAATGAATGTAGATGTATGTAAAAACAAAACAAAACAAAACATGTGTATGTACAAGTATGAGATATAACAATGAATGTAGATGTATGTAAAAACAAAACAAAACAAAACATGTCTATGTACAAGTATTAGATATAACAATGAATGTAGAGGTATGTAAAAACAAACAAGCAAAATTAACATATGTATGTTCAAGTATGGGATATAACAATGAATGTGGAGGAATGTGAAAAAAACCAAGCAAAACATGTGTATGTAAGAGTATGGGATATAGCAATGAATGTAGAGGTATGTAAAAACAAAGGAAAAATTATGTGTATGTACAAGTATGTTAAAAACAATTAGTGAAGGGGTATGTGAAAACAAACAAACAAGACGTGTATTAATACAAGTAGGTGAAACAAAAACAATAAGTGTAATGGTTTGTAAAAGCAAACAGACAAAACATGTGTATGTATAAGTATGTGAAATAATAATTTTAGTGATATGTAAAGTTAACAAACAAAACATGTGTATGTACAAATATGTGAAAAAACAATTTTATGTAATGATATGTAAAGGCTAACAAATAGAACAAGTGTATGTTCAAGTTTGCGAAATCACAATGAGTGTAGTAATATGTAAAAAACAAACAAACATACAGAGCATGTGTATGTACATATATGAGAAATAACAATGAGTATATAGATATGTGATAACAAATAAACAGTAGCTTACTATGCAGTATAGGTTTTGTTGAGAGTTGTCTCATTTGCAATCATACCACATCTCCTTTTTTTTTTATAAAACATGGTCATACATCCTTGCTAAAATAATATTTTGGAATTGCACAACACAATTATTTCTCAGACTGTATATGACGACTTTACACTAAATCAGTTGGATGTCGACTGATTGATATTTTACTCTGATAATTATTCATTAGTTCAAATTTGATTTGACCTAGCTGGGAGTACTCTTAGATGCGTTTTTATGCCCCACCTACGATAGTAGTAGGGGCATTATGTTTTCTGGTCTGTGTGTCCGTTCGTTTGTCTGTCCGTCCGTTCTTCCGTCTGGCCGTCTGTCCCGCTTCAGGTTAAAGTTTTTGGTCAAGGTAGTTTTTGATGAAGTTGAAGTCCAATCAACTTGAAACTTAGTCCACATGTTCCCTATGATATGATCTTTCTAATTTTAATGCCAAATTAGAGTTTTTACCCCAATTTCACAGTCCACTGAACATAGAAAATGATAGTGCGAGTGGGGCATCCGTGTACTATGGACACATTCTTGTTGGTCTTTTTGTTAGGGTCTTTTGGTTTTTTTTTTATGCTTTTTGTATGAACATGTCACATTGTTTATGTGCCTATTTAAAATCAGGAGCCTGTAATTCAGTGGTTGTAGTTGGTTGCTGTCTGCTATATTTCCTTTTTGTTTATTATATTTAGCATGAATCAGGTCATTAGTTTCTCTTTTCAATTGTTTCACATTTTGTCATGCATTGGCCATTTATAGCTTACTATACACTATGGATTTTGCTCATTGTTGAAGGCTGCCTGGGGGACCTGTAGTTTTTTACATCATTGGCCTTTGGCCTCTAGTGAGGAGTTGTCTCATTGGCAAATGTACCACATCTCCTTATTTTTAATGTTCATACAAAACAAACTGCACCAGATAACTGAAATCACAGAATAAACAAGAGAATTTTCATGCTTCTTTTAGGAAAATTTGACAAGTAACAATATACAAATAAGATTGAATTAAAGAATAAAGTGAGATGAAGAAATAAGGCATGAACACTCCATAACTAAAAATATGATATTTTACATCTAAAACAGGGATACACACTACTTCTTATTAGTGCATTGTAATATGTAATACTAGTACATGTTTATAATAAGATGGATTTAGATATACCACAACTGACAACACTCCAGAAACCTAACATATCTCTGCATTTATGTCAGTTAAAGCTGTGTCTGGATAAAAGTAGTATACTCATAGTCAAAAGTTTAGAAAGAAATCATAAACAAAGCTTATTATGCAACTTCAAAGTTTGTTACCTTTGATAAGCTGTACTATGACTTTCTTTTTTGTATCTTACTGCTGAGAAATACTTGTATATTAATAAATTTCAGCAAGTACACAAAATGTTAGACTTGAGATTGCTACAGAAATCCATTCACAGAACAAGAAACCTCCACACAGGAGAGTGGAATACCAAAGTTATTAGGAAAGCTCTGTTCCTTATGGACCATCATGCTCTTACGTGAGTAATTCAATGTTTAATTAGATTGTATGGAACACTGAAATAATCGTAAACCTTTGGTTATACAGTGTTCTCTTAATCTCATTCATTGTAACTTGTTCTTAAACTATGCTTGTTGAAACCAATTATGCAAGAATAATATGCTTTAAGTAGTGATGGGACAACAGAAGTTTAGAAAATATGAGATGAATAAATAAGTTCAGATTGTAAGGGGTTTAAAGCATCTTTTAAAGAAAAGCCAAATCTTTTGAAGGTTTTTTTTTTTGCCTGGGAGAAGTAAAACTTTTAAGGTCAATCGAAGATGTGCCGACTCAGTTGAAAATGAAAGATAAAGAATCATGTACACATATTCAATTGAATGTGAAAATGGAAATAAATGTAGTTTCTTTTTTTTCAGGTTTGAAGAAATATATAATATGAGAATAGCATACAAAGCATTTGAAGGCGAGGATATGAGGGGTATGCCGTTAGAGGAACGTATGATGCTGGGAGCTCTTAAGGTATTCAAATTCATCAGCACAAAATATATTAATAAAAATTAGTAGTACTATGCCAACTAAGATTTGCTTGAGTTTCCAAATTTGATAGAGAGTTTTGTTTTCAAATGTCAAATTTGGGTTAATTTTCACAATGATCTAAATGATCAATGAAGTTGCATTCATTGTTTGTATCATCTCTGATTAGATGAAATGTAATATAATCCATATATGTGAGGATGCTGAGAAGAAGTTTTGGATTTTCCATGTAAATACCACCCCAGTATGATGTTATAGTCATCTAATTTTTGTTAGATAAATAGCCAGTTAGGCATGAATGCGGTTTTACAAGTAATTCATGTAGGTGTATGGTACATGTATTTCAATGATTTTTAATTTTTTTTAGATGTCAAAAAATAATTTATTTTCTATGATGAGTATAATACTGACTATCAAAAGAAAGGTAACATTTTTCAAAGACAATAATTGTCTTTGAAATTAGTTTTTCTGAATTCTGTTGGAACTAGAAAACTTACTCCTTTAAGCATTCAAATAACTGACGTGTGACGATTTTATTGTCAGATGAAAACACAAAATCTCAAAATTCTGTATTCTTGAGTTGATCAATTTTATCTAAATATACAAATTTTATCTTTAAAAATAAGTATTGACTGTAAAATTTACATATATAACCCAATAAAATGGACAAGGACTGATGTAGTTAGATGATTAAGGTCCATAGAAAACTGATTAGACATATTGTCCAACAGATCTTCAACTTTATTTGCTAAAGTGATAAAATAAATTAAATGGAAATGATTTGTTAAAAGATCAATCAAACATAGTGTTGCCAGTTACTCTCCTTGTGATAGAGTATAGTTATCAAATAAATCATTTGTGACTACAATATTACAATACATAATTATATTTAGAAAGGAAAGAAGTTATTTGCTAGCGTCAATGTTGACAAAGAGTTTCACAATTATATTTAGAAAATTACTTTACCAATAGTTGAGATGATTGACACATTAGTATTGTGAAATTTCTCAACAATAAATTACAGTATAAACTCAAAAAGACAATCTTTTTTTAACAGTGACAGCAGCACCTGTTACATGTAGTAGTTTTTATTAAACCATTTTTAAGATTGAGTTTGTGATTAAAATTACACAAATTCAAGATTTTCTTGTGTTTCTGCATATTTTGGGAGAGAAAAAAGGGCCGGAAAAAAATCTACACTTTTTGTTATTTTCTGAAAAGTACTGGTTGACAGATGTTATATGTTTCACATAAGAATGGAAATCATATTTGGACCAGAAAAAGAATTCTTATGTACTTTGTCCTTTATATCAAGAGTCTAATGACAATTGAGTGTATAATGTTGGAAGTCTTACAATTTGCCATCGTCTCCTATTAATTATTGTCACTTTGTAGAGTGACATTAATTTGTTATATATATAAAAATAAGGAGATGTGGTATGATTGCCGATGAGATAACTATCCACCAAAGTTCAAATGAAGTGGATGTAACCAATTATTAGGCAACCATACAGCCTTTAACAATGAGAAAAACCCATACGTATAGTCGGCTATAAAAGACCTCGACATGAACCAACAACAACCACTGAACTACAGGCTCCTGACTTGGGACATGCACATAGAGAATGTGGCGGGGTTAAACTAGTTGAAGGGGCCAACCCTCCCCTTACCTGGGACAATGGTGCAACGGCACAACACAAGAACAAATTATACAAAACAATAAATGAAAAACAAATTTAAGAGACAGTAATAAATGACAACCACTAAATTACAGGCTCTTGACTTGTAACAGGCACATATAGAATGTGGTGGGGTTAAACTTGTTTGCTGGTGCCAAATATGTTCATTTCTTTAAGATTTTTATGTAATAGGATACAGAAGAAAGCAGAACTCTTTAAAGTGACATAATACATGAAAATGGTAACATGAATAATTGAACGTTGCTATTAAGGAATGTTTCTAATTGGTCCAAGTTACAGTAACCGACCTTGATAATTATAAGTTTTCCATTGACATCCTGAGGATTCACCTACCAAGGGTGACAATAGTATTATAACCCTCACGACAGTCAAAAACTCCTCCATTTGTGAATTCCCAAAGTTGTCTGCATTTAACAGAAAAAGTCATTTTATTAAATGTTGCTTTAATAAACTTATTCATATTGCTTATATAAGATAGTTGTCACATTCATAGTTGCTTCCCTGATTTCCTAAAATCTAGTCAAGGTTTTTGGTCAATTAAAGCAGTCATCTTTGTCAGTGGTCATTCAGAATTGTTGGCTTGTGAGAGTTGTTTTCCTTGGGGCTTTACAACCCTAACAAATTGACAATTCTGGATGTCTACCTCCTAAGAAGACCATAATTGTACATGACCAAAAGTATTAGTACAACATCGCAACTGACCACACAAACCACGTACAACCACTTCTGCCTAAAAACAGATTTACAAAGACAAACAACAGCAAAGTACAGGCACAAAATGTGGTGGTTTTTAAACACAAACCTCATCCTTTTCCTTTATGTGATGCAATAAATGAATTGACATTCTTGAAAAATAAAATATTAATTAAATGACTGAGGTTTGTCTATTGATTTCCTTAAGAATTGTTAAGGTAGACAAATAAACAGTTTATGACAAGTAGAATTATTGTTCCTTTATATCTCTGATGATTTAAGATACCTGTATTTCACATAGAGGTGTTATAACTAGTAGAATTAAATAAATAACTTTTCTGTCAAGTATTATGTGATAATAATGTTCAACATGAATTTTAAACAATGATACAATATTCGTTGGTGAATTTAATACTTTAGTTGTTGGTTTTTTATACCTGAATAACTTTTCTTTTACACTGGCATGCATATAACCTTTTCCTTTTTAAACAAATTACAAATTCATACTTCCTATTCAATGGGAGATAACTCCAGTTGTATTTTGCATCACTGCAGCCTAGGGTTTTTAATGTTACTGGTGACAAATTATTTCACATCAAAGTTCAGATTTCATGATTGTACATTATTTTGGAGATAAAAAATTTTGAATTTGTTAATTCAGTTTTATCTCAACTATGCAAATTAGCTCTAGTTACCTTTCCACATGGTAGGTATTAGCATATTAAGATAAACAACTGACAGGTTCTCTTTAATTGTGCACAGTCTAGAAATACATGGCCAGGTCTGATTTGGGATGTTAACTCAATGATTCATAGTTTATTGGAACTGAAGTGTAATTTTCTTTAAAGTTGCCCTTCAAATGGATTACAAAATTAAGACAAATTTGAAGACCATCTGAACCTCATCATTTTTTCATCAAATCATATTTGTAAACGTATTTCTGATAATTTAAATCTTTTTGACTAAATTAATTAGATGCAAACCACTGAAATGTAAGAAAATAACATTTAATAAACCGATCAATGTCCGGTTCAAGATAGTTTAGCTGTCACCTGAACAGGTAAATTTCAGCTGTTCGACAACTAATTAGCCTTGATTAAAATGAGAAGGTATTAAAGTAGGGGTTGTTTTGATTGTACTTAATGATCATGTCACTTTTATGACCGGAAATATGTGGCTGTTAAAGGCAAAAGGTTGGGTCAAAAAGATCGCGAATTATGTTAAAATGACCGTCTTTTAAGAAAGCCTTGAAAACTAAAAAGTAGATGTCCGTTTCATGCTTTGCCCAGCCGGACTTTTACCAGACATTATACAAATGTCCGGAATATATAACCGTTTTGGAAGCCTTGACCTCATGCTGTTCACACAGTTTACATTTGTGATTTCTAAAGGAAAACCAGTTTATGAGGTTTAATTTTTGTGTTTTTCTTGTCTTGGATATCCTTATACAATGTATATCTAAATTATTTAAAGATGATATATTTAGGAGTCCATCTTGATTGCAAAATTAGTGAAAAGTTACCCCTTGCAAAAATTTCAACTTGATGTTACTAAGTATACAACAAAGAAAAAAATAATGTACTGAAGAGAGATCATATATTTTATAAAATATAGAGTCAACTATCTGTGTGTTTTTATCTTTTTTATATAACTTAAGAAATTAAAAAAAAAAAACATTCTTGAAATATTTGTTTGCCTAATGACATAAAATAAATGACAACAAAAATCTCCCAAATAATAATGAGTAATGTTTGATTACAGATGTGTGGGAGAAGTATAGCACCACTAAAGATGATGCACAGGATCAAACATATGTCGGTACATTTTGAGGAGCCAGATCGGATGCAGTTGTTTGAATTTCTAGATCTTGTATTATGGTAAGATGCACTCAGTATATGTAAATATATTTAATTGACATAGGTATGTAAGTTTGAAGAGGAGAAGGTCTAATTAGAAAATACTTTTATTTAATTGGCATAGGTATATAAGTTTGAAGAGGAGAATGTCTAATTGAAAAACCTTTTTTAACCCTTGACTTTTGAAATCACAACATATGTTAAATCCTTCAAATGACATTCTTCAGATGTCCAGAAGATATCTATCAAATATCAGTTGTTGAAAATGTTGTCTTAGATATTTGTTTATACCTTCAGATATCTTGCATTTAATAAAAACTGCAAAAACTGCCTCATTAAAAAATGTTCCATTGATAATCTCTTAATATTTGTGTTCTCTTTATGTGATGTCATAGACATGGCCGCATTTTTATCTATGCTGACATCATCAATGGTCAAATAAGAGAGAACCACAGATATTTTTCTCTTATGACGAACCAATTAAAACAAAACTAAAAAGATTGACCCGGAAATATTTCAAATATTATAGTAATTAGAGTAAGTGTTGATTTGATAATACCAAGACAACTTTCCTTTACTTACAGGGCTGATTTGTATGAAGAATTCACGTTTGATAGCATGGAAAAAGCAGAAGGAAAAGAAGGAGATCTGTTCAAGGTAAGACATTGTATATACCATTAATGATTGCTTCTTGTATATCAGTTAGTGACATAATCAACAAGTGTTCAACATAACATTCTGCTGACATTTGTGAAAGTATTTTTAAAAAAATCTGGGCTAAAATATGCTTGTTTCTGGTTCCAGAAAAACACTTTTTAAAATGTGTAATCTAAATGATTCTTTCAACTAGACTTGTTTTATATTCATTCTAAGATAAGTGAAATATCTCCCTGAAGTCACAAGGGTTTTTGAAGAGTTTGATACTAGTGCTGATCAACTTTTTTGTTTAGGAGTTATGCCCCTTGGAAATAGAAATTATATGGAGAATTATAAACATTGTCAAGCATATCTCAAGCCTACATTTCTTGTAGGATAATTATGAAAAAGTTTAGAATAACTAAACTAATTTTTGTTTTGGACTTATGCCCTTCTTCAAATAGAATATGTGCATTGGCAGGGGGCAATGGAAAGCTGTTCCTTTATTGTTTTGGTAGGTTATTGTTTCATTGATATTTACATGAAATCTACTTTCAATCATTTTAAGTACAGAAAATTTTGTGCAAAACGCTAAAATTTTACACTTAAAATTCTGGAAGTCCTCAGTCAAAAGTTCGATAAAATGTTGCTCACACAAAGCAGATGTAAGTTAATTTCATTTGATTGTGTCCACATTATATTCTTTAAAGTTCACTTTGTTGTTTTTTTTTCAAGTAAGACAGATTTTAAAGTGATTAGTAAATGGATAGAATAAAGATATGTTGTCAAGTTTTGTCATTATGCAATCAGTGAATTAAATGTTGGTTATAGATTTACTTGAGTTCATGTTTAGAACTTGTCTATATAGAACAAACCTCACCTTCAAAAAGATAATTTATTTGCTACATAGAATTATAGGTAAGTCATTTTTTAGATGTTTACTTTAAACACATATTTTGCATTGGAAGCATTTGTTGAATTTTGAAAACATTAAGTGAAAAGTAAGATTATCTTAGCAGTGATTTTTACTTTTGTATAAATAATCCAATCAAATGCCATTATTAACTGCATGGCAGAAGCTATGAGCTGGTGTAGTAATCGTCTGAAAGAAAACTTGTGTCTAAGTTTTCTCAGCTCCCATTGTAGGGAATGATTTATTAATTGGTCTGCCGCTTGATAATCTTGAGTTGTCAGGAGTAAGCTATTTTTACATCTGCCATGTATCCACAACCTGTTTGCCGGTAGTTGGAAATTTTACAACACTCATTGTACAAGGAGTATTTTCATCAAAGTTTTCTCAGCTCCTATTGAAGGGAATTATCTAATATTTGGTGTGCAGCTTGATAATGTTGGGTTGTAGCATGTAAGCATTTTTTACATCTGCCATGTAGCCACTTTCTATTTGTCGATAGTTTGAAATTTAACAATACTAATTGTACATGGAAAATTTTCATCAAAGTTTTCTTGGCTTTTAGGAAAGGGAATTGTTTAATATTTGGTCTGCAGCGTTATGATTTTGAGTTGTACTGAGAAATTATTGTTTAGGTGTAACCACTTCTTGTTTGCAGAAAGCTTTTCCAGTCACTTAAGACATCTAGATCCTATATTATTGAACATCCATCTGCTTCTTCATTTCTACAAGTCCCTTATATATTTCTTGCTTAATTTTTCAATTTTGTAACACTGCTATAACTACAGTTATTAAAGTAAAGAAGATTTGTCACAATACATTCCATTCTTTTATAGCAATTTTACTTAAAGACAAAATTTACAAAAAAAACAACCAAAAAGAAACTAATGTATCAAATCTATCATACTCAAAACTACTGTTCTAAATGGGAAAACTACTGTTCTGAATGGGAAAACTACTGTTCTGAATGGGAAAAATACTGTTCTGAATGGGAAAAATACTGTTCTAAATGGGAAAACTACTGTTCTGAATGGGAAAAATACTGTTCTGAATGGGAAAAATACTGTTCTGAATGGAAAAAATACTGTTCTGAATGGGAAAAAAATTTCTAGGTATATCCTATTAGTGGTCACCAGGTAGAAAAATTCAGATAACACAATGTACACATAAAACATTTAGGACAGAACAGAGACCCAGTTAGACCCTCCTGCATCTATTGTGAATAATATCCAGCATGATCTGATGACATTGTGGCATCCAGGAAAAGCTTTCCATCCTTAATGTCTCTTCCTCTATCATTGTGCTGTAGTAGTTTACTAGAGATGACTTATTCTTGACCTCTGTCCTCTATCATTGTGCTGTAGTAGTTTACTAGAGATGACTTATTCTTGACCTCTGTCCTCTATCATTATGCTGTAGTAGTTTACTAGAGATGACTTATTCTTGACCTCTGTCCTCTATCATTGTGCTGTAGTAGTTTACTAGAGATGACTTATTCTTGACCTCTGTGCTCTATCATTTTTATGCTGTAGTAGTATACTAGAGATGACTTATTCTTGACCTCTGTCCTTTATCATTATGCTGTAGTAGTTTACTAGAGATGACTTATTCTTGACCTCTGTCCTCTATCATTATGCTGTAGTAGTTTACTAGAGATGACTTATTCTTGACCTCTGTGCTCTATCATTATGCTGTAGTAGTTTACTAGAGATGACTTATTCTTGACCTCTGTCTATCATTATGCTGTAGGAGTTTACAAGAGATGACTTATTCTTGACCTCTGTCCTCTATCATTATGCTGTAGGAGTTTACTAGAGATGACTTATTCTTGACCTCTGTCCTCTATCATTATGCTGTAGTAGTTTACTAGAGATGACTTATTCTTGACCTCTGTCCTCTATCATTATGCTGTAGTAGTATACTAGAGATGACTTATTCTTGACCTCTGTCCTCTATCATTGTGCTGTAGTAGTTCACTAGAGATGACTTATTCTTGACCTCTGTCCTCTATCATTATGCTGTAGGAGTTTACTAGAGATGACTTATTCTTGACCTCTGTCCTCTATCATTATGCTGTAGTAGTTCACTAGAGATGACTTATTCTTGACCTCTGTCCTCTATCATTGTGCTGTAGTAGTTCACTAGAGATGACTTATTCTTGATCTCTGTCCTCTATCATTATGCTGTAGGAGTTTACTAGAGATGACTTATTCTTGACCTCTGTCCTCTATCATTATGCTGTAGTAGTTTACTAGAGATGACTTATTCTTGACCTCTGTCCTCTATCATTGTGCTGTAGTAGTTCACTAGAGATGACTTATTCTTGACCTCTGTCCTCTATCATTATGCTGTAGTAGTTTACTAGAGATGACTTATTCTTGACCTCTGTCCTCTGTCATTATGCTGTAGTAGTTTACTAGAGATGACTTATTCTTGACCTCTGTCCTCTATCATTATGCTGTAGGAGTTTACTAGAGATGACTTATTCTTGACCTCTGTGCTCTATCATTATGCTGTAGTAGTTTACTAGAGATGACTTAGTCTTGACCTCTGTGCTTCAATATTTGTACAGTCAGATATTTGTTTGACTAAATAAAAGTATTTAGAATCTAAAAAAAATCAGTACTTTAAATGAGTGCATTGTGCACTTAAATAAAAAAAATATTAATTAAATATAATGTCTGCTTGCAAATAGAATTGGCTCTCTTCAACTGCAGAAATTAAATCTCATGACTTGCTATTCTTTTGAAACATGACTCGATAATTTTTCTTGAACCCATTGACCATAAAAGACCCCCAATGAAAAAATGCCAAGCTCTTTTTGAAATGATTGTAAAGTTGATAAAACAAAGGTGATAAGTTTTAAAGGTCTTTGTATATTTGTCCCTTCTTATTGGTTTAAAGTATCATTTGGGTTTTAAGTTCAGATTTTATAAATCCTGTTAAATCAGATAAATGTTTTAATCTGGATATTGTTGTAAATATTATTATTTTGTAACATTATCGTAACATCATTTTTGTTGTAACAAAAAATCTTTTTCAGTACATGCTGGGGCCCTATTTAGGATATAAAAAAATATGAGTTATTCTCGATCTTATTCAACTGAAATATTTTAAGTAAAATGACATTTGACATATGATATGTATTTTATCTTTTTAAAATTAAAATTGCTGGTTTTTTAAATTTAAAATTTCTATTGTAAACTCTTCAAAGCACCCTATTGTGGTATAAGTGTTACTTTGAAACACTGCTGTTAAACAGATAAATATCGTTACTTTTTTAACTTTGAAAAATATAATGGGAATAATAGAACAAACAGATTTAGCTACACTCATTAACTTTATGCCAAATAAAAGACTAAAAGTGCTGATGATTTGTCATTGTTAAAACATTTTGTGTTTTGTCAGTATGATCCTTGAAACTTATTCGTAACACTAAAGTTTCCATTTTTAGTGGCACAGTAAATATTGAAAATCTTGTAAGACAAATTAGGAGCAAGTTTACTGAAAGAATATTATTATTGTTTAGGATTACATGAAAAATGCTTGTGATATATGTGTAATTAGAAGCTGTCGTTTCTGGTGCATTGGTTAAATGTGAGATTTACATAGAATGAAATTAAAATTGAATATGATTTATGGATTATAATAACAGTAATAACATAGGATTAAGCAAAGTTAAATATACTCTAACTATATATTAACCTTGGAAGTAATAATGGGTATTCTGCATGAATTTAATGGAATATAAATAAAAAAATTCAAGGATATGTTTTATTGGAATTAATCTAATATTGCCTCTTTTCTTATGGAATAAATGAATACTAAATTCTTGTGTATAAAGAAATAAAAATATGAAAGAATATCAAGATGTAAGTACCTTTTGTAGACTTTAAAAAAATCATTTAACTTAATATATTTGGTCCAGTTTCTAATTCTTCATGAATGAAAATTTTGACCCTGGAGATGAAAAAAAAATGGTAAGATTGCTGTCTGAAAATATTCAAAGATGATAATTCCTTTCACTTTCAAACATTAGGTTACTTTAATCATATGATTTTGTGTGTCTGATATTTGCTGACTTGCCAGGTAAGGATATAACATAATCAGACTTATAGGATTTACTGGACTTTACTACTACTGCATGTAGCTCTTTGTCATATATTTCGTTTTGGTTTTGTTTTTGAATAAACAAGGCTGTTGGTTTTCTTGTTTCACATTTTGTCATTTCGGGGCCTTTCATAGCTGACTATACAGTATTGGTTTTCTCTCATCGTGAAGGCTTGTCTCACCTGCAATGAAAGTTGCTGAAAGCAAGACATAGATGTTGCTTTTCCCTTAGTGACGACGGTGGAGGAGTCAACAATTGTTAAGTTGTCTGCTTAAGTCAGTTTGATAGGAATTACTTGTGATAGATCAATGATATTTTCTATAAAGTTGCATTACTATCAGTACATATAAGTTTGATGACTATTTGGAGGACCTGTCCTCTTGGTCATTGTCCAGCAACTTTCAATTTAAAAGCAATTTTCAATGTTAAGTTTTGTGCTTAAGTCAGTTTGATAGGAACTACTAAGTCTTGTGATAGATCAATGATATTTTCTAAAAAGTTGCATTACTATCAGTACATATCAGTGTGACGACTATTTAGAGGCCCTGCCCTGAGGTCATGGTCCAGCAACTTTGAATTTATTAGCAATTTTACTGTCCATCAGAATGTCTTTTTCTGAATTTTCGGCCGACAAGCAAGACATATCTCTGTGCCAGTTACAGTTACAGTTGGTAGATTTTGAGACAATAACATAAAAATTCTTTGAGCAGTTTTCATGAAACTTTAGTGACTGGTTTAAGCTCCCATTAGTATTTTATATATTTCTGATATGATATTGAGGAGTAATGGAACTTTATTCATTGAAAAAGCGATGGGCGTATCATGCGGCTCTTTATTACAGTTGGTAGATTTTGAGCTTATATAATTGTCTTTTATACATGTATTACTATTACAATTGGTAGATTTTTAGTATCTATAATTGGCTTTTATACATGTATACTATTACAGTTGGTAGATTTTTAGCATCTTTGATTGGCTTTTATATATGTATTACTATTACAGTTGGTAGATTTTTAGTATCTATAATTGGCTTTTATACATGTATTTCTATTACAGTTGGTAGATTTTTAGTCTCTATAATTGGTTTTTATATATGTATTACTATTTCAGTTGGTAGATTTTTAGCATCTATAATTGACTTTTATATATGTATTATTATTACAGTTGGTAGATTTTGAGCATCTATAATTGGTTTTTATACATGTATTATTATTGCAGTTGGTAGATTTTGAGCGTCTATTATCCCATCATGATAAGAAGTTAGAAGACAGACTTAACAATGAGTACCTCGCAGAAGAATGGGACTTTGGACAAGAAAAGCTTGATGTGTCAAGGTTCAGAGAACCTCCAGTCGTCTGTGGAGACTCAAGAATTGAGCTGGTAAGATCTATAATTTGACATGCCTTATAAGATTGAACTATTGTGTCCTACAGTAGATACAGTAGATGCTGTTTAAATCTAACATAACAATTACCATGTTTTGGGACTGCCATCTAAGATATTTTGTTTATTTTTCAGTTGTTAATATACTTTTTTTCACTGATAAATTAACATTATTTTACTAGAAATAAACTTTCTAAAACATCTTATCTTCAAAATGAACCACAGGAATATACCATTATTATCTATTAAATCAAGATTAAAGAGTACTGTGAATTTCTGTTTTATTAGAATACATTCAACTTTCCTTTAGGAATTAAAGAAAAATGTGTTGTATATTTGTTTTCTACATTTATTGAACCAAAGGTCCAAACAATTTAAACATGTGGTTTGATGGACACAAGGTTTTAATGTCCAGTGGATAACTTTATCCAGTATTTTGAACAATCAGGCCCTGGAAGTTTAGAAACTTAGTTCAGATACAATTTTTTTGGTTCAACTTTTATACAATATATCCAAATGTTATTTTCAGCTCAGAACTTTTTAATAATTGGAAGATAAACTGTAAATAAATTTCTTTTAAATATACATAGGAATTTTGCTTATTTTAGGTATTATCATAGACCTTTAGTGGTTTTTTCATTATGGCTTTATTTTTAAGAAATCTATGAAATGTGTTGCATTTTGAAATGTTATTTGTTATTGAGGACAAATAATTCAATACTCATGTAAAATATTTTCTTTTAGAAATTTGGCTGATTATCTCCCCTCTCTTTGATTTTTCATGTGTGCATACATCAATTGATTTGACTATTGTTGACTGTGACATTCTAGGTCTGAATGTTTCCAGAATTGACATTCAGAAATAAATAACAGTGTAGATAATCATTTTTAAGAATTCATTATGAAGAATAATGCTAAAAATGTCTGATGCTCAATCTGTAATGTAGAAATGTTAGTACACAGATAACTGTATTGTTATTTCAGAAATATGCTTGTTACTCAACAGTTACCATGGTTACTGTGAAAATATCTAAACGACAGATTATTGATGATGATTGTTGTTTGCTTAACTTCAAGTGACAATTATTTCATGCATATTCAGGATGAGAAACTATTAACAATTAATACAATGGGTAGGTTATGCAAGGTAGGAAAAATTGGACTGCCATTGGAAAACAAAGCCGGATAGGGTCAGAAATATGACCTAGCATCATGCTACCTACCGACCCATCAAAGAGATGTTGCAAGGGTTCTTTAGCATACAGAGAACATGTCACTCTCTCTACAGGATCATCATATTTAACATCCCAATTCTATCAGGACGTGGCTGTGAATTTATACATCTAACACAGCCAAACAGACACACTAATTTGGCAAGGGTTTTACTGCTGTATGGAAGAAGACCAAGGTGACCATATCACTATACTCCAGTCATCCCAAAAGGTCAAAAGATCATTCAATTATTATTGTATTTACCCGTTTAAGATATTCATAGAGGGTTCATATGGTCAACATCAAAGTCACAAAATTGGATATTAATTTTTTATGTATCTTTTTTATTCAAACAGGAAAACAACATTTCTGATGAACTATTTGAAATGTTTGATTCTGGGGTAAACATAATGTTTTGAAATGTTTTGAAGAGCTATAGAGATCATTGCACCATAAGTGATTGGAAAATATTATTTATATACAATTCATACAATAAACAGAAAAAATTATTTTAGATAAAGGGCTATTATTCTTAAAGAGGACATTCATTAACTGCCATCAGATTAAAATAAAAAATTAGGGAATTGAATGACATATTTCTCATTCACTTATGGTTTAGTGTTAATGTTTTATAAGCATTGTTCATTATTATTGTAGAGCTAATAAGAATAAGTTAGTATATCCACATAATTATGCCCTGCCTACGGTAGTAGATGGCATTATGTTTTTCTGGTTTGTGCGTCTGTCCATCCCCTATCAGGTTAAAGTGGTTAAAGTTTTGGTTTAGAGTAGTTTGTGGTCACATCAACTTGAAACTTAGTACACAATTTTATTTTGGAGTGAACTGATAAATGTGTATGCCAAATTATGGTTTTGACCAAGATTTTATGGTTCACTGAACATAGAAATGAGATGGGTTAAAGTTTTGGATTGAAGTAGTTTGTGGTCATATTAACTTGAAACTTAGTACATATGTTCAAATTATACCCATCGTAAAGTTATACAAACAATTTTATGTATTTAATTCATTTAATCTTTCATGAGCTACTGAATTGTAGGAAATTCAACAGATTGACTTTTCAAAATTTAAAACTTGGTAAATAAAGACTTAGCTCTTGTTCTTCTGAGTAAATATTCTATACACTCAATTGCCTGTACCTGTATGAAATATTCCACACAGAATGAACACGGAATATATTATGAATATTGCATTGAATTCCTACCAGAAAAGAGTGATATTCTAGTCAGACAGTAGTAGGAATCTACCCAGAAAATAACCAGAAAATTTAAACTAGCAGGAATTTCTTAGTAGGAATATTGTATATTCCTACCAGGAATATTCAAATTAGCAGGAATAATTTGGCAGGAAAATAAAATTCCTACTCGAAAACATTTTCTAGTAGGAATCTAAAAATATACAAAATGTAAGTGTATATTCACAAATACACAACTCGGTCAATCATTCAAGTTTGAATCTCAGCAACAAAGAATAATGCATGGAATATATTCATTTAAAAAAAAGGACTTTTGAAATGTATGCATTCTAGAAATTGTGTTATACATGCATGTACATGTAGATTAGCAAAAATGTTGCTTAGATGAAATTAAGAGTTATGAACAAATAATGAGTAAAATTATGCACTATTGTTGAATAAATTGATTACTAAATATATTTAGCAGACAGATAAAAAATTTCATCTTAAAAGTATAAAAATAACCTTCAGTCTACATGAGCCATATTTTTTTACATTTCAATATTGTAGTTGTTTGACCCTTGCAGCATTGTGTTCCAACACAACTTTTCATTCTTTTCCCCTCCAACTTTTGAATTTGTGAACTGGAACTTGGTTGCATTTAACACAGCAAAATTTGTGTCATTAGCAAACAGGATTCCAGTTTAAGATAATTAAAAAGATTCCAGGTAGAAAGATTTTCTGGTAGGAATCAGGGAAATGAATAATCTAATCATATTTTCTGTCCAAATTCCCACTTAAGATTTTCAAAACAGAAAAAATGATTTTCAAAACAGAAAAAATCCATACAGACTTTTAAAATTCCAGCTAGATAGTAGTATTTTGCTAGTAAGAATATAAAAATATCCAGTCAGAATTTTGTTCATTTTCCATGTCCACCTACTTTCTATATAGAATCTTTGATTCTAGGTGGATTCCTACTACATTCCTACTAGTTTCTAGGTGGAATCCTACTACTTATTTTGTATGAGTACTATAATTTTTTTGTAATAGGCCTACATTTATAACCCATTAAAAAAATTTCTTCATGGAAGTCTTTATATGTAAACAATAAAAATAGAAAAGATACCGTACTTACATAAAACATTTGATTTGTCTTGGCTAGTTTATATTCAGTGTCTGTATTACTAGGAATGTTATAAATTAATGTTGTTAGATTTTATGGCTGTATGATAATTGTTATATTTTATATAAATTTTTATTGCAATGTTTTCCAATGTGACCTATAACCTTGGTGTCATTAGTCTTTTAGTAAGAAACAAAAATGTTCATCTCTGCAGCTAAGTAGGACAGAGTTATTCGTTGAGGTTAAAAAATATATCAAACAAAATATATGTACATTGCATATTAAAAAAGAAATTTTATTCTAAGTTAGTGGACATTTTTTGTTATTCAATGTAATTTTTTTCATTGTTAGAAATAACAAGCAGTTCTAATCAGTTGTTTTGTTTGGACAATTCAAGACAATTTACAACAGTATGTCAATGACATTTGATGAAAATTGACCCTTTCCTTCTTTTAAAAACATAGACTGAACAAGCTAACTGATTACTTTTCTTCATTTAAGAAATTGGGTTGTCTCCCTTTTTCTAGTGTTCAATCATTTGAACTTAAATTGTTATTATCTTGAAAATAACGGATATTTGAATTTGATCAAATTTGAAGATTAAAGAACAAATATTTACTTGTTCTGTCACTTTATAGGACAGAAAGCACTTATATATATATATTAACAACTTCAAGATCCGTAAAGAAAGGTATTTAATTTGTTTGTTCTTAACTTGTATTTTAGGCCAGAGATCAGAAATTAAAATACAGATATTTAAAATCAGAACTGATCAATTCACATCGGAAACTGTATCGAGCCAAAGCAGGATATATAAGAGATCGTCCAGTGACTGCACCAGACCTGTCAATGTACGAGGAGCAGGAAGCACCACCCCCTCAACCAGAGTTTACTGCTCAGACAGCATATGAAATTGTTAATCGTAAAGTCAAAAGTGCAAATGCAGCAATAGGTTAGTAATACATATGTCATATTACACTATATAGTATAAAAAGTTGAGCATCTTGATAGGAAAAGAGCTTAGATATTGAATAAGGGGGATTGATTTCATACTATATGAACTTTTAAAATCCATTTGATTTCTTAACCAATTGCAGGAAAATTGCAGTCCAAGCATTTATCCTTTAGTTGCTTCACAGTATTAGGTCTTCAATGATTATTTCATTACAAATCAAGGAAAATTGATTAAAAATGAATATATCTATCTAAAAACTTTTTTCATGGATCTTTTTAACCTGAAGGAATAATTTATCATCCATCACTGAATACTTCCATCCATTGATTTTATTACGAGGCTTAGGATGAGATTAATTTCTATTTTGTAGAAAAAGTCAACTTCTTTTTTCTGTCAGGTCAATGAAGCCTTATATTTCATCAGTCCAAGATATTTATTTTGTCTTAACCAGATTAGAACCAGTAAATAGGCTTTGTCACAGATAATTGCATACAACTTTTAAGACATGCTGAACTGTAACTAAAAATGGAGAAAAAAAAATAATTTAGCAGTGTTACCTGTACTTGCCATGATGTTAATGAGCCAAAATATTTAAAATGTGTTTATATTAATAGAATGCAAGTACACTCTTTGGAAAACTTTCTCAAAATTATCTGTAAAATTCCTTCCTCAAATTCTAGTCAATACATTTTTCTTAGATATGTAAACTGTTGCTTCCAGAAAAATTACTATGTTAATGATGTAAAAAAAGTCTTAGAATCACAAACTTAGTTTAAGCAATATACATCAGTCAAAGTGGATTTCTTGGTGAAAAAATAACAACAAAGCATTGAAATTAGCCTAATGTCCATGTATTTTTTAGCCATAAAACATTTTAAAAAGTTTTTCATTTTATTGGAAATAGATTGGTTAACATTTATGTAGCCAGAACATGGCAACTTTTTAAGTAAAATCTATAGCTTTGTTCTGGAGATTTAAGGATTTTAAGAAAATTTTAAGACTTTTTTTCACCCATTTCACATGCATTTTATAGGAATGTACATCTTTTAAACATATTCATTCAATAACATTTTAGCAAGTATTACTGTAATTGTTTTTTCAATTTTTAGTTAAAGTGAGATCTTCCAAAGTTGTTTGCAAATTCTTATAAAAATAGCCATTTTTGAATTTTGTAAGGCCAAGTTACCATAGTTTTCTGTAAAGCCTCTTCCATTAGTTAATTTAATTTTCTCTAAGGCTTTGTGTACTTTTTTTAAAGACCAAATAATAAGACAACAATCCAAGAACACAAGTTTACAACAATTAAAGGTTACAAAGCATTGTATCGCTGTTGAGTACCTTGACTATATTGCAATCAGTAAATAAGATTGAATTACTGACTATGAACAGGCACATAAAATCATTGTGCTTCCAAGTAGATATACAAGATAAATGGCAGTAACTCTGGTTGTGATATGTGATGTTGTAAAACATTTTTTGATATTTCAAAATGAAAAAAGTAAAGGGAATTGATTTTATATACAAATCTTGGAATAAAATAAAAATTCCTTCCCACGAGAGCCTCATGGTTGACTTTATAATGTATCGATATTGTGGTAATGATTTTAAAGGCTAATAGTATGTTGATACAGGTATAGGAATTTTAGGAAATAGAAAACCTAAAGGTAAGCTTTGTTTTATGGTGTCAAGATTTTAGATATTGACTTTTTGATCCTAAGATGACATACAGGGTAAGGTGTTGGAAGGAGGGGTTAATTGTTTGTTTGGCTTATTGATTTCATTGTAGTTTGTTAAGTCCTGACCAGACTGGATTGCTTGTTGATTAATAGGGGTACTAGATATCAATCTGCTGCCCAGCTCTGATCATATTATTTGCATGGGGAACTAACTCCCAGCTTAGTAGCCCAATGGTAGGGCATAGTCATTAAAACTTCAAATAAAAAGAGTTCATAGTAAAATGAATACATATTTTTAGAATATTACTTTTCAGATCTATCTTTCTTTTCTCAAAACCCCAAAATACTCTTTTCAAACAGTCATTCATTTTATATTATTAGCTACCTAACCAATCAAAATAGATAACATAAGGGGAGGGGTTATTCTTTTAATTCCAGTTATTGGACTATGCTCCCTTATAGATACTTTTTTATCAATAACACTGTTACAGAGACAGAATCTATGGAAGTCATGAATTTCTAAAGTAATGGAAATGCAGTAACTTTATGGATATCAATGAAAAAAATATGTTTTGTGTCATTTTCAAGACTCTAATGACTGTAAGAAAGAGCAAAAACCCTAATTTTTTATGTCATCTGTTAGACCAGTGCTCATTAATTATGCAAGAATGTACATTCATGTCACGAGCTATGACCTAGACCTTCTTGAAGCACAAGTTCACAAATATGAAAAGAAATAATAACTTCAATTTCACTTTTCAGCACTTATCTTGTGTTAAGAATAACAACATTGCTAAAGTCATGAATATGAATTCTACAACAAACTCACAATCTCATTTATTTCATCCTTTCTCTAAAAAAATTTGATTATAAAGTCATGTGCTAGTCATTATTGTTCATTCAGAAGGGGTTTTTGCAACTTTGTTGCAAATTTAAGTCCATTTAGGCCTTTTAACTTTTCTTCCAGTATCACTGTTTCCCTATATTTATCATAGTCCAGGCATAACTTGCTAAAAATTCTATACAATCCTTTTTTTAGCCGAACTTGTCAAAATTGTGGGTCTACCATGATTACATGTTGTTTTGGTAAACACATTTTCTTAATCAATAGAACTTTGTACGCCTGCGCATTTATGAAGTTGATCTAGGGTTATATGAATATGTTGGACTGTTTAAAATTCACCTTCTTGATCAAAAGTACATTTTCCCGAAAAGAACATCAAGATTTGCACAAAATTAGCTTTTTTTCATATTTTATAAACAAAATTTACTATATTCTTGAAAAAAAGTGTCAACCAATTATTTTTTGAAAACAGAAGATACTGCCTCTTTAAATAACGATATGATTATGTAAAAAAAATAAAATCTATTTTATCTAAAATAGGAAATGGCTTATTAGCTTTCAAGTGCTATTTCTTTGTTATTTGACTGATAATCAAACTTCTTCAATATTTTAAAGGTGATAAAAACAATTTCACAAGTATACCTTAATACCTTATCCAGAATTATTTAGAAATGAATGCCTAATTATGACATTTTTGATACTGTAACATGTAATATTTGTAACAAGATAATACTCAGTTTTGACATATACATCTCAACACTGAAATTTAGCATTATAAAAACTTATAGAAAATGAAATATAGATTTGTTAAACACAATCATATGAAATTATTGCCAATGAAAAATACACTTTTCCTTGGTGAAATAGTCTCAGATTTTAGAATTGTAATTTCTATGTGTTAGATTTAGATACACTTTAGTTTTCTCCTGATTTTGAAATATTGTTCATCCACTTCATGCAAGTATACATTTCTTAAAAATACTGTCAATATTTTTGTGTACTAAATTTATCTATTTAAAATGCATCAAAATTAAAAAAATCCATTGTAAACTGTATGAATAACTGATATATTATGATCTCATATAAATATATTTATATACATGATATAGGGAATAAAGATATACACAAACATGATTTTACAACCAAAACAGCAAATTTTAAATATCTTAAATATTGATTAAACTGCACATTTTAAATGTCCAAAATATATGTTTTACAAATGAATTTAGGAGATAACTGTATTATATTTCAAGCTTGGGCTTCGTAAAACATAGATTTTACTGTCGCAAATTGAGTTTACCTAGGGACGCGTATTGTCCTTAGTTACGGACTGGTAGAACGTGGAATCTAGCCCTTCAAAAAGTCAAAGTCAAAGTCAAAGTCCAATGAAAATAATCATTCTAAATGAATTGCATTAGAATTACAGTTAAATTGTTAATGTTTTTGTGAATCCAAACAGTACATTGCTAAATTGTTTTAAATCTTAAACCTTGTGCAGTCCAAAACAGTATCTAGTAAATAAGAAAGTGTAGTCAAAAGAATATCACAAATTACTTGAATGAGATCCAGATAATTACTGGTACAAACAACATTATTAATCAATCACCATTAAAATTACAACTTTTGGTGAACCAAAATGAAATTAAGTTTCATTATTGGTCGAATAATCACTGTTATTATGTTGTCAACTAATCTCAATGTTTTAGTTTATGCTTTTGGAATTATTACTGAGAATGCATTAGATTCAGAAATGATGAATTTTCATTCAAAATATTACATTTGGCTTATTTATTAAATGACAATTAACAGCTTAAATTTGCTTGAACTTATTCTAGGTATAGACATACTCTCAAAAATTGTAATCACTTATTCTTTATAAATAGATCTAACGAGTTTGTTAAATTTTGAATTATGAAACGTTTTATACTTGTGTTAAATTTAGATTATGTATCAATAAGCTGACAAACTAAGACCTTATTTTCTATGGTGGCAGTTATTTAATTATTTACCTTGAAGATAATTTTTCGTTTTATCTGAAATTGCTTTCTTGTTTTAAATAACACACATGAATGAATCTGATATTAGATTATTATATATTTATATGTGAATTTCATATTAGTGAAGTTTTAGACTAAAGTTTCTGATATAGATTATCTGAATTAAAATCTCTTTCAAAATGTGTTACTTTAATGTACAGTGTGAAATAGAAAATTTAAATTATGGGTTTATATACATATAAAACATATATTTTAACTGAGATGCGACAAAGTTGAACTCTGCTTATATTATAATGAATGCTGTCTGGAACATTTGGGTTCCTGGACAAATCTTTTGAGCCCTAAACAACATCTTACCAAACTTGGTTTGATAATGCTCCAGGAGATGAGGAAGACTCCTATTGCTTGTATGAACAAATGGTCAAAGGTCACAGTAAATATAGATAGACTGAAATTTCAACAAGATTTTGGTTTACTGCTGTTTCTTTTTGACCATATAAAAAAAAGAGGAGGAAGATACCAAGAGGACATTTAAATAAGTGGAGATAAACTGACAACACCATTACAAAAATCAAAGACAACGAAACAAAAAACAAGTTCACAAACCACTTCACAAAAAGTAAAGACTGATCCACACTTGACCCACAAAAAACTGAGGGTGATCTCAGGTGCTCAGGAAGGGAGCCCTTGCCAAATTTGGTTTGATACAGCTTCAAAGTTTGAGGAAGACATTTTGATTTTTGGGGTCAAAAGGTTAAAGGTCAAAGTCATAGCAGATAGACTTAGATTTAGGCAAAACTTTGGTTTACTGATCTTTTGAACCATTTGAGATTTTCTGAAACTATTATTTTCAAGTGTAAGTTAGCCAATTTGGTTTAATTTTAAAGCTATGATAAATTTTCATCAGCAAAAATTACATGCCAGGAATAGTGTTTCATTTTGAAACTTGAGAGAATTTTTGTAGAACATGCCAACACATGTTAAATTTGCCGACCTTTATGGAACAGTTGAACAAGTTTCTTGTATTGTCATTTTCCTATTATTTTTACACGAATCTGCTTTCGTTATAAATTTTGAAATGAATACATACAAAGTATGTGTTACTTTGCTTATGTTAGACCCCGTTCACACTAGGACATTTAGATCGATTTAAACTAGATCGGTTCACTTAAGATCGATTTAATGGCCAATGTGAACGCTTTGAACCGATCTTCAATCGGTCTAAACTAAAACACCAAAAGAGGTAGTTTGTTTGAATCGATCTAAAGTAAACCGATCTTACTTTAAATGTGAACGCAGAGATCGGTTTAAACTAGTACGATTGAATCAAAAATAATTAATGCGCATGTATAACGTCACGGTACCCAAATTGCACCGAGTAACCAAATTACACCTATTTAGCAAAAGTAGCAGCGGAAATCTTACAAGTTTTCTTAGAGACTAAACAATTTGTATTTTTATGATTTGACATTATGCATGTCTTTCAACTTGGGTAAATATATTTAAATATACACAAAACGTTCACAGTATACATCAATAGATGAAATATTCACTGGTAAAGGAAAATATACGGAAACGTCGCCATGCAACGTCCACAAAAAGGTCATCTTTTAAAAATGAGCAAATAAAATATGCTACAAGCCTCCATTTCTTAAAAGATGAATAGTAAGCATAGATTAATCTCAAATTGTTCCAAATATTTGAAGAAATAAAACAAATTATTTGTAATTCGATTTTTGAGGATATGAATTTTAGCATGGATGCAATTTGGGTACTACTCATTACAGAATCATTGATCGTTTGGAGATCTGTTCAAACCCATTTTTTTATGATTCAGTATGGATTCAAAAATTAAATTGGTGGAACCATATAGCGAATAATGATACATCTACAAAATAAACACAGAATGGAAACTTTTGTTTGGATCATAAATAAACATAGGTGAAAAAACTGTCAAAATAGGTGCAATTTGGGTACCCTCACGTTAGCGACAAAACTACACATCCTTGTATATATCGGTGGTTCGTTGCCGTTTAACTCATATTTCTCTGTTGACAGACCTTTGTGTACATGCATGCAAGTAAAAAGGAACTGAAAAAATGTTGTCTTCGCCGTAGCAAATTTGTGAAATCTGTGTCTTCTTTTCTTCTGTGTTGAGTTTTTCCTTTTTTCAGGAATCTCAGTATTTCTTCCTTGCTACAGTTTTTTGTTTCAAAATTAAAAAACACTTAAAAAATTGGACTTGTGATTCAAAACTGAGACTATAGTATAACTTCATTCATTTTTTTTCTAGTATGTGTATCGGTGAATCAACACATACAGTTGATTAATTATTTCTATTTATAAACAATGTTTACAGTTTTACGGGTAATTAGGTCAGATCGATTGCATTTTTAATTGTAGTGTGAATGCAGTGGTTCAGATTAGACCGATAGAGATCGTTATGACTAAGGATAATGTGAACACTAACTGGTTTTATTTAGATCCATTAAAAAAAATGCTAGTGTGAACGGGGTCTTAGAGAAAACATTAAAATTGTTCCTGGAAATGCATTTTCCATTTGTGGCCTGAATTTTCCAGGAAAATCATTTTTCAATGTTTGGAAAGTTTAACAAAGTTTCATCCTGATATCTAAATATCTAAAAAAAACTCTTGACAAATATCAAATATTCTGTTTCTTCGAAAAAGGACTAAAAGTTTCTTTTGTATCTATTAGATGTGTAATTCTGTGTAGTTATAAGGTTTCAAATTTTAAGTCCTGTGATAATGATGTCATCATAAACAAAACCAGTAATTACAGGATTTTGCACATTCATTACTGTTTTACTAATTATCTCCCCTGAAACTGTATTGACTCCCCTTAGGTTTTCATGTTACGGTTATCCATAGAATCATTTTGTAAGGTGTACATGTATGTCAGAGTTCTCCTGACTACAGGAAGAAGCATGACTAACTCTTTATATCTCAATGTTGGGAGAACATGTCAGACTATTACCAAGTAGCTTTTTTCACAAGAAAACTTATGACTAAAATTTATCAAAGGTAAAAATGAATTGTTCATGGACTTGAGGATGACATTTTTTAGGTGACAATGTCTCCCGAGTCTACCAAAAGTTTAGTGCTATTAACATTTATTTTGTGTTTTGTTTCAGGAAGAACTCAACCAGACTTGTCAGATAAGCCTTATATTCCCTCTCCACAAAAAGTTTGGACTGCCAAAGCTGTGAGTGCTGCTGAATTAGAGGAAACACAGAAGAACTACGACAAACTCAAATTTGATATGGAAACTGTGGTAATTATTATATTTGAACAAAAGGAAATGTGGGTGTATTTGTCAAGGAAATATATGGTCAATTTTCCACACAAAATAATTGTCCATTTTAAATATTTTGGATTACACAGTATCTTCTTATCCAAATTTCACATTGTATGGCTGCATAAATTTATTCAGATAATCTAATGAATGTGGATTTTAAGCTACATTCATGAAATGACTTCCCTTTTTTAGAGTTATGGAATTTTTACTTTAAACTTTTCTTTTACTACAGATAGAAAATATTGCATTATTATTTTTGTGATTGTCACTAAATATTTTGACAGCAAGAAACCCATTCACAAAAAAAATATGATATGATTTCCCAGACATAAATCCAAAATAGCTACCAGAAAATAAATACTGGCATTTGGAGTCAGTGTAATTGGTCTTGCATGTACCATATACAGATTATTGTGCTAGCTGAATTAGTATCATAGGTTTAAAAAACGAAAGATACAATTTCCATTTGCACAACACATAGTCCTTGAAAAAACCTTGATGAGGTAAGAGTGAGACTAAAATTAGATTGATTGAGAGCATAAAAATCTTATTACATCAAAGAATATTCTGCAATACAAACTACAGGAAACAAATGTGTACAAAAGTCAAAATAAATTTTCATGCGGCAAAGCCATGGAAAAAAGTTAAACATGCGTGGCAACAGATGAAAATAAATGATCAATCCAGAAAAAAACCTCTTGGCCCACCAGATTATCAAATAGTTGTCCCCTAAATTAAACTCAATTCATTTAAATTGCTATAGTGTAATATTGGTGTAAGTAACTGTTCCTTAATTGTTTTGTGACATCTCAGTTGAAAAAAGCATTGTGTTACTGAAAAATTTCATGAATTAAACAAAGTTATTTAAATTTTCGCCAATGTTTGTTTAGTAAAATTTTATAATTTACAAAATTTACAAATCATGACATTTTCAAATTTCAAGTTTAAAATATCAAACATTCAAATATTTACCAGTACTTGAAATTGAAATAAAAAATCTGGTCATGTTTTCTATTGTAGCAAGGGAGATATGAATATCATAAAGAAAAAGAGATAGAATATTTCTTCCCAGGACAACTGGAAAGGCTAACTAAACAACAAGAAGGTTAGTAAACTTACCATTGTTTAAAAGAGGGATAAATTAAGTGTATTAAAGTAAACAGTATAGTAATGAATAGGATGGGAAGGTGATCAATTAGCTTTTAACATTTTGAAATATATCATTGAATAAGGGTGAGTCAATTTTCATTAAAAAAACACACTCACACATTGTAGTTAGAATTGAAGATTTTTTTTCAGCTAAACTATATGAATATTAGTTCACTTTTTTTGCCAGGGACCTTAAATAGCCAATCATGATCTTGATTTAGCCTAAGACCAACTAGCTTTTACAGAGTGTTCTTTGTATATTTCAGAAAAAGAAGATGGTGAAGTTTCAGAGATGAAGAAAGTATCTAGTCAGTCATCAAAGCCAAAGATTACACAAAAGGAGGTGAATCGGTTAGCATACCCGCCAAACAGAATTCCTCCAACACATGCTAAATTATGTGATGCAAGGTACAATCAGTTTTATACCTGTGTTGTTTTTAAGATGTGATATATTTATTATGATACCATCTCTAATAGACACCGACCACAAACGCTAACTTGTGTGTTATTTGGATGAGTTGGTTTTATAAAAACTTAGTACACATGGTCATTTTTAAGAGAAATCTTCAAAGGCAAGGTTCACCTTTGGCCATATATGGCCTTGAATTTTAACTCTATCATAGAATATCAAAAAGTTCATAATTTTGTTCTTCAATGGATCTATTTCAAAAGTATTAATGCTTGATAAAAACAAATTTCTTCATAAGAGTACATTCTGGTCTCCAAAGTCTTCCCTTTATGGATATTTTGTTAAAATATGATGATTTTTGGCATTTTGGGGACTTAAAAGCTTTAAGAAAACATTGGGAGCAACCTACAATCTGCAATGTTCTGTAACCAAAAGGTGTCAATAATCATATTGAATCCCAAGACATAATTTTTTTGCGGCTGAAATAAACTATGGGAAAAACTGTTATAATCATGGAAAAATGGGACCACAAATAATGGATAATAAAGTGTCCATTACTTTGTATCTGAACTGAAAAAAAATAAGTTATTTGTATTTATTGTATTATCACATTTATTTCTATGTGAAAGTTGTAGTAATTTGGTTGATGAAAAAACATTAACATCGTAGGGACAATTTAAGCCGTTGGTGAAACTACTCCTTTGATTCTAAATTATGATTTTGACTTGGATTTCACTTACTAAACATATACACATGAAAGTGCATGCTAAGCATGGTGTTCTATGGAAACATATTCTTATTATAAAGATATTATATGAGTACGAACATTCCAATGATATAAAGAGAAATGGGATATAGAATTGAGAATGGAAATGGGGAATGTGCCAAAGAGACAACAACCCAACCAAAGAGCAGACAACAGCTGAAGGCCACCAATGGGTCTTCAATGCAGCGAGAAACTCCCGCACCGGGAGGCGTCCTTCAGCTGGCCCCTAAACAAATATGTATACACATACATGTCAATATATGTCAATAAAACAACAATTCAACAACACAGAAAAAAACAAATTAAAAACGGTCTTCAACAACAGACAAATGACTAGCTCTAAATCAATCAATTGAGTCTAGAAAAGTTTTATAATGATTTTAACAGTGACTATCAATGATCTGTCTTTAACACCAAATTCCCTGAATGACAAAAGACAACCACTGATGAGGCATATGAAAATGTGGCAGGGTTAAACTAGTTATAAGCAAAACCCTCACCTTTTTAATCTTGATCAGTCCAAAAGCAAATAATACACACAAGAATGTACAATAAAAATCAGTTCAGAAAAATATCTTGCATTAAAAAAGCTCTCAGATACTTAAAGCAAGCTCATAGTAATTTCCCTGCCACAGAAATCTTACAATTCTACAAATGAATGAGAACCTGTGAAAACTTTACAATTTGAACTTTTTAAAGACAGTTTTTATTAGTAAACATTTACAATATTCACATTTGTGGTTGTTAAAATTTTATATACTTTGAAATGTATACCCCAATCAGGACACTATTTGTTGTTGTTTACTGGGTGCAAGTAAATAATATCAATAAGACCCAGTACATGTTTTGTATATAATGACTAGGTCGGATGATTAGTCAAGATGAATAGGTGTCAGGGGATAATCTCAATATCTGTTATAATAACATTACATTCCTGTCACCAAATACTTTTATGAGTTTCTTAGTTTAATCATTTAATTGGAGAGAAGACCTTCATTGACATATGTTTTTTTGTGCCATTAAGTTATTCAATTTACAAATGCTACATTTTACCTGAGAAAATTTGTGATAAGGAAGAGGAATATTGTACAATATTGATATATAATTTGTTATTTAATGGTAAGTGTATTGAATATTTGATTTATTTTGCAGAGCTTTACAAAAGTAAGACAATACAATAAGTTTATTATTAAAAAGTGTGGGCAATGATTGAAAGGAAGGTTACATTGGTTATTTAACTAATTTTTGTAAAATCTTAATGATTGGTTGATTGCTGTTTGCTGAACATTCAGATGCAAAATAATGAAGTGTTTTACTTTTGGCAGCATATATTTTCTTATAGAAAAATGCATCTTTTTTGTTTTGAATAGGTTATGGAAGTTCCTCGTAAATGGGTTTTATCCCCATTTATCAGTATTATACTCACAATTCAGGAATAAATTTACAGTTATAAAAAAATGAACTTTAATTTCATGATATCTGCTGTCATGGTGCAAACATTAAATTAAAATTCAACATTTAGCACCAAGACACTATGACAGAAAATATCTTCTGGATAAAAGTGAATGGTCTTAAAATAATAAATTTTTGAAGTTCTCATTTCAACAAGAATCTTACGGGGAACATTTTGCCACTTAGATGAATGTGGGTGTGCCATGACAGCCATAGTAACGAAATACAAAATTCAAGTTTTTATCACTGTGTAAATTGATCCCTGTTTTGGTATAATACCCATAAATCTTGCTAGTAACCTTCATGAGGAACATTCCCCAACCTGTAGAATAGTATTAGTTTGTATGTGATGTTGATTTCAAAAGAACTGATTGAAAAGGTTTTTTTCAGGGTACTTCATCTTAAGTGTTTGTGTTTCAAATACTTCTAAAAAAAACAAAACTTATATTTCCATAAAAACTTTTTTTGAGGCTTTCTATGAAAACGTGTAGCAATGAAATTAAAAAAAACTCTTTTTTTTTGTAAAGAGATGCAGGTTAATAATTATAGAATTAGGTTCAAAATTAATCTTCTTCCATTCAGGTGTGGAAAAGAGTAAAAAACATTTAAAGTGAAGAGACCTGGTTTGAGGAAAGAATGCTTTGAAATTCTGTGCTATTACTGTTAATATAAATCAGGTTTTACAATTGTTTATCAGTTATGGCAATAAAAAGGGGGAAAAGTAATGTTTGTTTTTCACTGACTGATGAACTTTGGTAACAACCTTTAATACATGTTGACCATATTGCAATTATTACACTAATAAGTCTAATAATAAATAAATTACAAGGATTGCATATTCTCACAGATGTGTTGCTCTCTTTCATGATATTATTAATAGGAACTCATTGTTAAACATATCTAAGCTCTTTTTGATGATTTATCTTATGGGTTTTAATAATAAAACTATCTGTGTTGAAATTTTAATTCGATATCTAATAATCTTTAAATTGACGTTTTTTTCCAATTGTCAAATAAATTCTTGTTACAAACTACAATAATAATTGTTTCAAGTTTAAAGTTGAGCTTTCAGATTTTGAAAGATGATTAATTATTTAAATAATAATTCAGGACAGTTTTTTTTTCAAAAGTTTTTCTAGTTGTGAGAGATGACTAGACACTTCAAGACTCACTGTCTTTAAGGATATCAAATATCTTGATCAGACATGAAAATTTTATTCCAGTGTGAAATAATTTAATACTTAATGTGCTGCCCCAAGTTGTTGAATTTCTAAATTAAAAGTATTCATTAAATTATTCTCAAATCGAAAGAAAACACTGTGAGGTGTGTGAATTTAATATTTTTTAATTTTGAAGGGTTATAGCCCGTTCTTTAAAAGAGTATGCAAACTATCTTGGTGGTCTTGTGGTAATTGGCTCATATTAAGCATTGTTAGGTGCATAAGGTCATGGGGATGATCCTTGAATGGATCAAACCAAACACTGCTTCTTCCACAAAGCACATGACTTTAATATTAAGAGCAAAGACTGGTCACCATAGGGTTAACAAAGCAGGAAATTCTCATATCACATTGTTATCAGTCGGAATATGCTTGTAATATTTGTCATTGGACATTAAGAAGCCACCAATAAACCAACCATATAGGATTATAATGTTTTCTTTGGACTAAACTGGTAATTTTGTTTTTTTAGTATATACAGCAATTATGAATATGATTAGATGTTTATCACAGGATATTCACACCTCATTTCATTTCAGATTACAATCAAAGAACTATTATATATATGCAGAATTTTATTTAATACATGTAACGTTACGTCAAATTTAGTTACAACTTTTGTGTCTCAGTAAAACTTTTATGTACTTTTTTAAACAGGTTGAAACAGAAACTTTTAAAATTAGCAGAGAGGTACTTGTTATTTAGCTAGCCTTTTCTTTCTGTTGCTGAGCAATACATTTTTAAAAGTTGATTATTTGTTTAAACAAATGTATTTCACCCACAAACAAATATATATGAAAGATAAAACTTGTAAGTTTAAGTTATATATTGTCTCAGGATGATGTAAAGAAAAACTTAAGTATAATTTACCTTTATAGAAAAATTATCTTGTTCAAGTGTTAAAAAAAACATCATGAAATTCTCTAATTTTGGACAGAAAAAACAAATAAATTTTAGTAATCTTTGGTATTATGCCTGTCTCAAGTAAAAAAAAATTAAACATATTTCATAATCAGATAATCCCAGTTACCAAATAGCAACCTCTCTAAGTAGACTATTTTACATCACTCTTTAAATGTTTTTTTTTCATTATTAAATTACTTTTTTAGCTCACCTGGCCCAAAGGGCCAAGTGAGCTTTTCTCATCACTTGGCGTCCGTTGTCCATTGTCGTCGTCGTCGTCGTCCGTCGTCGTTAACTTTTACAAAAATCTTCTCCTCTGAAACTACTTGGCCAAATTAAACCAAACTTGGCCACAATCATCATTGGGGTATCTAGTTTAAAAAATGTGTCCAGTGACCCGGCCAACCAACCAAGATGGCCGCCATGGCTAAAAATAGAACATAGGGGGTAAAATGTAGATTTTGGCTTATATCTCTGAAACCAAAGCATTTAGAGCAAATCTGACATGGGGGTAAAATTGTTTATCAGGTCAATTTCTATCTGCCCTGAAATTTTCAGATGAATCAGACAACTTTTTGTTGGGTTGTTGCCCCTGAATTGGTAATTTTAAGGAAAATTTGCCGTTTTTGGTTATTATCTTCAATATTATTATAGATAGAGATAAACTGTAAACAGCAATAATGTTCAGCAAAGTAAGATCTACAAATAAGTCAGGTTGACCAAAATGGTCAGTTGACCCCTTAAGGAGTTATTGCCCTTTATTATCAATTTTTAACCATTCTTTTACGTAAATTTTTGTAATCTTTTACAAAAATCTTCTCCTCTGAAACTACTAAGACAAATTTAACCAAACTTGTCCACAATCATCATTAGGTATCTAGTTTAAAAAATGTGTCCGATGACCCTGCTCGCGAACCAAGATGGCCGACATGGCTAAAAAATAGTACATAGGGTAAAATGCAGTGTTTGGCTCATACCTCTGAAACCAAAGCATTTAGAGCAAATCTGACGAGGATAAAAGTGTTCATTAGGTCAAGATCTATCTGCCCTGAAATTTTCAGACCAATCAGGCAACACGTTGTTGGGTTGCTGCCCCTGAATTGGTAATTTTAAGAAAATTTTACAGCTTTTGGTTATTATCTTGAATATTATTATAGATAGAGATAAACTGTAAACAGCAATAATGTACAGCAAAGTAGGATCTACAAATAAGTCAACATGACCAAAATTGTCAAATGACCCCTTAAGGAGTTATTGCCCTTTATAGTCAATTTTTTACAATTTTTATAAATTTTGTAAATTTTTGTAAATTTTTACAAAATATTTTCCACTGTAACTACTCGGCCAAGTTCATTATAGATAGCGATAATTGTAAGCAGCAAGAATGTTCAGTAAAGTAAGATCTACAAACACATCACCATCACCAAAACACAATTTTGTCATGAATCCATCTGTGTCCTTTGTTTAATATGCACATAGACCAAGGTGAGCGACACAGGCTCTTTAGAGCCTCAAGTTTATTTTTCAAGAAAGTCCAGGCATTCCTATTTCTGAGCAGTATTCTGTAACTAGACCAACATCTCAACCACTCCAATTGACAAATAGATAATCTATCTCTAGAGGCAAATCCTTCAAGACCGATAAATGCTTCCCAATGTTATCAGTATTTTATAAATGGGTCACTTCTGTTGACAGTGGTCAACTGCTGAAAGGGGCCAATCCTTTAAATTTTCTAAGGTAAAAGGTACTTAAATGGAATTTTTTGTGAAATGTTGAAAGCATAACTAGAGCATACAGAACTGCATATAAATAAGGAGCGCTGATGTATGTAGCTCTCTTATACTTTCTAAGATGAAGGAAATTGAAATATCCTTCAGGTAGAAGTACAAATGTATAGAATTACAAAATTTATTAAATAATTTTAATTTAGATAGCCTTTTCTCCTAAACTAGTCTCCTTTTTACTGATATAAAATTTATGGGTGTCACTGAATTATTTTTTGGAGTAAAATAGTTGAATCAAAATAGAATGTATTGCACATCAAAGTCATAGGCAGCTGGTCTTACACTGTGTGTGAACAGAAAAAAAAACATCTGCTAAAGGTAGCACTACTTTTATCTGTACTAATATAACATTTTTGAATCTTAGCAGTTAACTTATCTGACGTCACTTCCTAAATGTTTGCCCTCTTTCAGTTAGTTAATTAGTTTGTTTAGTTTTAACTGTGGTTATCGTCTGAGACAAGGAACACTCTATGCATTTATTAAAGGCATCATTTTGTACCATTTGATTTGGACTTGAGCTTTTAAAATGACCTACACATTTTTTTTCAACAACAAGCTCAATACTAAGGGAGTTACATTTATGTAACCTTGTGATGATTTGGAGGGATCAAGACCTTTCCAACAGAAGATTCTTCTAACTCTTACATCCATGTTTAGTTTGATACAAGGACACAGAGTAAACTTCAGTACGGCTATATATCCTAAAAGAATATTATATAGCTTTCACGATTAAAAATTATACATAATCATAGTTCAGTTCCTTATATAATCTGCCGTCATATAACAGTGAATCATGATACACTTTGAAGAAATATCAAAAGTAGGTCGCTGTGCCATATAGTTCATGCTTCATATTGATTCTAATTTTGTCCAACTTTCAGATACTTTTGTATTTTTGGACAATTACTGCTCTCCAATAGAAAGCATTAAATTTATAAGGTGTTGTTTTCATTTTTTTCCTGCTTTGTTTTATCAGATCAGTTTTTATCAAATATATTGATTTTATAACAGTAATTGTGACATCATGGCAAACTTAATCATTTTTAATGACTCTATATTTAGGAAGCTGTGTAAATGTGTTGGTTGCAGGATACCCACAAATATACATAAACATAGTTATATTGATTTGAAAGTATCTCACAATAAGTTATCACTGGTATCACTTGAACACTTTCAGATGGTTCTAGTAATGTGTTTGCTTCACAGAGCTTTTACTATTTATCTTGAAACAAGGAATTATTCGAATTTGGAACAATTTTAAATTCTGGAAAATTGATAAGAAATGTTTGATGAAAACTAACCCAATTGAGGAGGGTTAGTCATGCACACATGGCAAAGGGGTTTAGTTGGTCCAAAATAACATGAACTCAATAGCCATGCGTGCATTGCTAACCCTCTGTAGTTGGGTTAGTTTTCATCATACATTTCTCATCAATTTTCCAGAATTCTACATTATTCCTTGTTTTAAACTGATTGCTTCCTGTTTTATTCAGGTAGTATTTTTCACAATAAAGTACTGAGAATATAGTGTTACTATTAGCAACCATTTATCTGTTATTTTAGTGAGAACTAGAATTTCTAAATCATTATAGAGTAACATTATTATTTAGATTTATGAGTGACTTTTTACTGCAAGCTTTCTGCCTGTCTTGTTAAGTAGTATCAAATGTTTTATTTTTGATTAAACTAGAACTTAATTTTATTATATCTGAGTGCTTCTTGGCCTGTATATTCTCCACAATGCATTGTGTATATGTAACTCGTTTAATAAATTTTAGGATTTGTAACATCCTCAGAACACATGTCAATAAGGATATTGTTAATACAATATTTTTTTTCTACCATGTCTTTAGATATTTTAGGTAAATTATTTGTTGTGATCCTAAAATTGATAAGTTATTTCATGTAACGACTTCATTTGATTTCAGAAAGTGCATTACTACCACAACTATGCAAATTTATATATAGTGAGGGAGATTACATTGTCCACATTACATTGTCTGTTATAGGATACAAAATTTTATTGCCAAATTTTTTTTATTGAATTCTGGCTGCAGAATAAATACGACTTTCAGCCCATGATTTAATTTGAACAGTCACATATCAACTAGAACTATATCAGTGATTTGAGTGAAAGTGTTTCGTAGTTCATTAAAAATTATGACCCAACGGCAATTTGTTTCATCAAACCAAACTGTTCTAATGACCACAGTCAAGTCACCAAATCGAAAATTGAAAAATAAAGCATACTTACAATCCTTTTAGAACTGAATTCCACTTTATGGTTACCGTACTATGAAAGTGTTGCTTAAAATTTCTACACATATATTCACTGTATTAATTCATTTGGAAAGAAAGGAAACAATTTTAATTAGCATACACTATTTGTATTAAAGCTTTATATTTCAGAAGAAAGAAAAGCCAAAGAATCCAAATAATAAGTATTAACTCTGTAATAAGTTTATTCATTTACTTTCAGATTCAGAGGTTGGCATAATATCAAACATAAAAAAGGAAGCCATTTTGTTTTGGTTGCACCATCTTTCGAAAACTCCTATCATGGTAGATTGCATAAAAAACTTGTAGAAAGAACAAATGCACCAGTAAAAAAGGTCAAAGGAGACTTTGTACATCGTTTTACCAAAAAGACAGAAGTTCAGAAACATATTAACCAAGACATGCGTCCATTCACAGCACCAGGAAATCTTCAGCCAGGTGGAACTGACATTGAAGCTGTCACTAATATGATAACAGAGAGTCCTGCAGATTCTTGTAAAACTGTGGATACTGGATATGGAAGTATGGAGGACAAACTTGGCAGTGGGTCTTCTGCCGAAAGTTTGGTAAAGTCACCAGATCTCCAGACAGTTAAGTCTTTGGATGACAAGTCTCAAAACTTTGAGCTGAAAACGAGTTGTCCTAAACCGTTTGAGTCACAAAAAGTTGTAGAGAAAAACTCTAAAAAGGAGGCAACATTAATAAATGGTTCTGAAGCGTCCCCTGAAAGGGCTATAGAAAAAAGTATGTCAGTCGGTTCTGTTGATAAGGAAATGTTTTCAAGAGAAAAGTCATTAAATGGCACTTCCAAACTTGACACTTTACAGCAGAGTTCTCACCAAAAGCGTAATGAGAGTCCTAGAAATAATTCTAGTTTTAAAAACAATCATACCGGGAATATAAATGGACACAACAAATATATTCAGAACTTAACAGGTGAAAATACATCTATGGCTTTTAAAACTGAAAATGACAAAACTGTGTGCGAAAAATCTTTTCAGGAAACAGATTTGAATGATAAAATTGACAATTTTAAGAAAACTTTGAATAAAAATAAATTAGAGAAAAGGCTAACACATTCTCAGAGGCAAATTGTGAAATCCCCACCTGCTTTAGAATTTACATTTACGTCAGTATTAAATGAATCCGATGAACTAGACTTTAAACCTGTTGAAGTGAAAACTAGTAAAAGTGCTTGGTTTGAAGATGGTATACCTAGTTCTGGTATAATGAGTCCCAGAAATCCTGAGATGTATACAAAACCAAAAAAGGAAATTATTGACATTGAAAATTTACCTGTTCCTCATCTAGAACATAGCAAACCGAAAACTGTATCAGTTGGTGCAATTGGAAAAATTTCCCTCCTTGAGAGTATAACAGAGTCTCGATTCTGGGAAGATGTTGTGGAAGAATCCTACAGATCAAAGAAAAGTGATGAAGTATTTTTTAAGGATGACTTAAATGTTAATCTGAAGGAAAAAGAATTGGCTGACTTGAAAGAGGAGGACTTTGATGATGATGTTTCAAATGATAGTGGAATTGGTGGATTAAATAAAAATTGTAAACCTAAAAATGTGACCAAAAAGAAAAGCAAAAATGATAATGTTGATGATAAACTTCAGAGAGCAAAAATTGAAAGATTAAAGCGACAAAAACGAGTTTTAAAAGGATCAAGTTTTGAGAAAATGGGAATAACGGTTAGGAGTAGCAGATCAAGCCAAACCAGTACATCTTCTGAAAACTCTAACAAAGAACTGGATTCCAAAACTAAAGATCAAATATTACTTAAAAAAACTTCTTCCCATTTAAAAACAAACAATAAAAATGACAAAACTAATGAACAGAAAAATGTAACAATAGAGATTTCAAAGTCTGAAAAACAAAACAAAAGCAATAAGATTGAGGAGAAACAGAGGAAATTTAGTGCTAGTATGAAAAGACTTGTAAAACGAATGGATGATTCTTTGTCTAATGATTTAAGAAGCAAAATGTTGTCTACTCATCTTTCATAAGAAATGATTTATCTACATTGTTACTTTTTCTCTTGGGAACATAATACTGAAAAGTGTTGTGGTTTTTTTTTTGACAGCTGAGCAATGTTTTTATTTTTTTGATTAATATACTTTTGGATTTTTTAGAACATTTAGTTTTAATTTTCAATCAGGATTAATATTTTTCATGTTTTATACTATCTTGTATGTAGATAGTACAATTTAAGGAGAGTTGAAGTGGGCAAGATTATATTGAATTTTGAATTTCTTTTATCGAAAAAGAAAAGAGTCAGAAGTAATTACCATGGGGACACTCAAAACTCTTAAGTGGAATAGAACTGACAAAATTGGTTTCTTTTTACAAAAAAATGTAAATATTTAATTTAAAGCTCTTTGTACTTTAAACTTTTTCACTTTTTTAGCTTTGTAAGGTTTAGCTTGCAAAATTCATTCAGTTAAGTATGCCAATTTGATGACATTCCACATATGATAAGCTTTTCATAAGGCTATAAGTGTGGAAGGTATTTTTTTTTTATATATTTTTAGTGTTGATTTTCAATGAAATTGCTAGGAATTTTAAAATAAAATATAAATGTAAAATAAAAACATAATGTAAATAAAAATCTTTTAGAAGAAGGGGATGTGGATATAAAATCAGATTTTATGAGACCTTATAAGACATATTCTTTTCATTGAAGTTATTGACCAGTTATTGTACAGTAAAAATATAGTTCATTCAATTAAGATTTTACAAAAATATATAAAATTTGCTATAATGTCTCAAAACTATCTCTGGCAACAATGTTTAATAATAAATAACATGATGTTACTGATATATGTTAAGTCATTGAGAAATCTTTTAATCATTATATGTTATTTAATATTTACATCTACTGTCTTCAGTATTGAAATTCTAGTAGGTTTCAACAACTTTCTGATCCTGTGAATAAAACAACTGCAGGAGAAATTGACCCTACCTCTTTGGGGATTGATACAGATGTACACACCAAAGATTAGATTACGTGTATTCACTGGTCTTAGCTGGGTTAACTAGATTTAAAAAAATATATATTTATTGTAAATACTTATGTACTATTTATTGCATCATTGGTGCTATTTTCTGTTTTCAAACGAATAAAATTGTAGAAACTGAAGATTTTATTATCATTGACCATTGATGAAAAGTTAAACAATACTACATTAAAGGATAACATGAATTACCAAAAATTAGTAGATAGTTAAATAGACCGCATCAGCCAGACTTGGTACAGGGAAAAAGTAAAATACTACTGTAACGATCAGTCATATGGAATACAATGTACACTACTTACAGGAACATTGTATGATTTTTCACATATATGGAAGACGCATTCATTCGTGAAAGAACTCTGGTGAATTTGAATTTTGAATAGCAAAATAATTTTTGCTGATGTTGCTTGAAATTTCAATCTTAAAAATCAAATCATTGCATTAAAACATTAGTAAAACTGATATTTTCAAGCAACTTAATCTGTACCTTCGTATGATTTTACCATATAACAAATTACTAATTATTATGTTGAAATATTACAGGAATAAGTGTGACGGACTTAGAGGGACGGGATGTACATATATTTGCCCGGTAGTGGGCTAATGACTAAGTAGAATAAAAATTTTGAATGACAAAGCCGTCATATCTAGTATCAGTTTTCAAACTCAGCATCCTGTTTCAAAAAAATAAACAAGTACTGGAATGGTAGACAGTTATAGCTATAATGGAATCGTTATGATATTATAACCTGAATATTTGCTGGATAACAAACGATTCAAGTCGGAATAAAGTTTAACAATTTAATAACCGGCCTAACAAGAGTAAAATAATACAAAACTGATTTCGGTGTTTACGGTAAGCGTCTTTTTCCAAAACAGAATATAAATTAGTTTTAAGAAGTTCATACAAAATAATGAAAAAGGTATACATGTGACTATGGATTAAGTAATTAATGTCTATTGTGAAGATGAATCTGTTGAAACTGTCTGTGACAATCCGTTACCAGATTAGTAGAAAAACCAAAATATAATCCCATGGAAAATTTGAGCTACAGATTACAGTTGTAAAATGTAATAATAAAAGTCAACAAGATAATAGTTCAACTAGTTGAAATGCTTTTCGTACGGTCAAAATATCTTTAAAAACTGGCTTTGAAACTAGTGCTGATTAAAAACTTCACATTATTTTCAGACAATATTAAAAGACAAATGGCAAAACTTAGAATTTAGCTCCAAATCATTTTGTGGATTTGTTTTAGAAATGATAATGCAAAGAAAAGTGCATAATGAATATCCTTTGCAAATATAGTGAGGTGATCCTCAAAAGTGCAACCAATTAAGAAATTTGACAACATATTTCATGAAAATAACACTTATTTTTTGCCTAGGTTATTGTGTTTTTAAATGAAAATCTAATATTGGGAATTAATTCAGATATTAATGCTAAGCTTACTTCTTAGACGTATTTAACTTCATAAAAAAATAGGAAGTTTCATTTCGTCAGCTTTTTTCATAATTATGATAGATAGAATCAAAGACAAATGTACGTGGGAGAATCGTTCGTAACATAAATGTCATATGGACTGTATGCCAGTTATGTTGTAATAGTTGTGGTAAATGCTGTTTCATTGGTGTATACTCTACACGTCCATAGACAATGATTTCGTGCATATTTAGGACCAAATATGGTTTTCAGAGAAAATATATCTTTTGTTTGTCCGTAATTTCTCAAAATAAAAGAGCCATAGCAAGTTCTTTCAGTGGTCACATTGGGTGAAAATTCTTATGCAAATGTAAAAAAAAATCATGGCTTCCTTCTTGTGTGAATATCAGTTTGTGTCCTTATTAACCTCATTTCATGACAAAACAACTGTTCATGATACAAAAGCTCATGTATCACAATTTTCAATCATGCGTACCGTAAGGTACCTATTGGAAACCAAAGGTAAAATCAGGCCATTCCTTCGAAAATTTAACGGACGTCATCACATTAAGCAGAGTTCAACTATGTATAACTATGCAGGTGACTGCATTTTCATTGTGTGTCCTGTTTTTTTTTTTTTGGAAAGTTGATAACTACAATAGGAGATGAAACAAAAACAACCGATTGACTGAATTATGATAAAACGCAGACTAACCCGACAAGGTGATAGCAGAATTTAGAGGATAGCCTTCAATAGATATTCAAAGTTCTAATTCATCAATAAAAACTGTGGTAAAATTGTTCGAAAAAGACATTGACTACCACTTAGTTTTCATTTACACTGTATTTACATATAATTAGTTTGAATAAAAAGCAGCTTATTAAATATATTGAAACTTTTGAGACGTTTTCTTTCCAAATTAAACAAACTCAACATATTTCATACTTTAATATTGAGTGCTAAAAGTAATTTGAATTTCTGCCCTTTGGCTTGTTGTTTTTGTGATAAAAGAAAAAGCGCACTCCACATATTTACAACGTGTTGATAATACTAAGGTATCATCTCTTTTGGATGATCAAATTCAAGACTATGGCTTCAGAAACTTATATAATTTTAAATGAAATAGCTCATTCATGTTTGAACGGCATTCCACAAGTTAAACTTTATATTGGATTTTTCTATGATAAGGACATATATTTGTGTGAAAAATCGTTCAAATATGATGCAGCTATTCTTTGGAACAGTCTACCGGACCATTTCAGGACAGTTGAATTAAAAAAAAATATGCTTAAGTATTTGCAAGGTTTCAAAATGTCGCTGTCATAGTCCACATGCATCTTATTCTTGATATTATAGCACTATCAGCTTTGCAACTCTTTTTATTTAATTTATCGTTTTCTATAAATATATATATTTATTAATTCAAGTTTTGAATTTATGTGAATTCCTTTGCAATCTTGTGCTTATTTTTAAACTTTTCGATTTTTACAATTCCTGTCGGGTATCCTAGCCTTCTTTTTCTCGATTGTGACATCACCGAATGAGACTGACACCAATATGTACCTACTGTAGCCGGCATGACTGGTGCTTTTAGTGGAACCGGATCTGCTTACCGTTCCGGAGCACCTGAGATCACTCCCAGTTTATAGTGGGGCTCATGCTGCTCAGTCTGTAGTTTTCTAAGTTTGTTTTGTGGACTTGTTTGTCTTTTCGTCATCTTTCGTATTTTGTCATGGCGTTGTCATGTTTTTTTCGACTTAAGAGTTTTAAATGTCCCCTTGGTATCTTTCGCCTCTGTTTGTACTTATCCAAACGCATCCAATATGCTTTTCAGTTATGTTAGCACAAACCTCTATGTGTAATTTCTATTTTTGTTTTGTTTTTTTCCCTTCATTTATGTCGCGAAAGCGAGACATAGCGATCGTCAAAAATTAGGCTCAGTATGTGGTTAAAGTTTATTTAAACATCAATAACTTTGTAAAATCTTTATTGAATATTAGGAAATTTGGACAGAAGCTTGTTTATGACCAAAAGACAGTATCCAGGGCAAATTTTGAAAATATTTATTTTCATTTTTCCGTATTTTACTGATAAATGGACTTAGTTTTTTTTACAGTTAACTAGTAGATACAGTCTGAGGTTAAAGTTTTTCAATCATCAATAACTTTGCCAAACCTTCATGCATGGAATTTTAGGAAATTTGGACATAAACTTGTTTATGACCAAAATACAGTATTCAGAGCAAAAATTTGAAAATATTTATTTTCATTTTTCAGCAGTTTTCTAATAGATGGGCTTAGTTTTTTTACAGTTAACATTTACAGACAGTCTAGGATAAAACATTTTTGACATGATTAATTTGTAAATCTTCATGAATTGTTATGAAACCTGGACAGAAGCTAATCTTCAAGACCATGAAATAGCATTCTAAGAAAAAAAGTTTGATTTTTTTTTAAATTCTGTATTTTACTGATAAATGGATTCACTTTTTAAGTTAACATTACACTTTTACACTGACAGCAGCAATCGCAGGCGAGACACATGGTTCCGCGGAACCCCTAACGATTTTTTTATGACAATAACTCTGAATAAATAAGATTTTTTGCAGTATTTTAAAAAAGGATTTTTCCTTGTATCTGTTTTCATTTGTTTCTAAATCAACGCTTCATAATAAGACGAATTCGCTGTATAAAGTCAATAATTTTGCTGAATTTTGAGCATTTCTATTGGTTAAAGTTATTATTACTTCAACTTTACCTGTGTACCAGTGGCAAACTTTCAAGTGTGTATTATATCTGAACGCGATTATGTAACAATGGTTGTCTATAGAATCTCGACCTCTTGTAAGTGTTCTACAAGTAATGTTTCCGTGCTTTTAACTAGCCTCCTTGCTACTATCAAAGATCTTATCATTAACGTCTATTATGAAGCATGTGAAAATAATAGTATTAATTATTTCTGGCGTGTAAAACAATCTTTGGATGCTTTAGATAAATTGTGTGCTTTTGGTAGTCCTTTTGATTTGGTAGACAGTTTTGACTCTCAACACTACACTTCCACACAATCTTTTTTAACAAAAGTTTCTTATTTTATATAATGGTTCTTTGAAAATCTGATTGGAGATGTATTTGCTGCAACTCATATACACCTTTCTTCTGTAACGAAAAAGGTAAATATGGTAGATAAACTTACTGGAAGTGTGATGAGATGATTTAAACTGTAAATTTTCTCTTTGACAACATCTATGTACTAGTCTTCAATAAAGTTTATCGACAAATTTCAGGTATTCCTATGGGTATCATATCGTCGTACGAATGTTATAGTGTTATATGTCCACTTTTGATAAAAATGGAGATAGATATATATTTCATATCCAAGAGCAAAAGGGGTCTATCTCCCTATGCAAGTATTATACGAGATTTCTACATTCTGCGAATTTTTGTCAGAACTTCATTGTTCTATCTCCATACTTCCATTGATTATAATAGCTTATTCATCGTTTTATAGTTTTGTATCCCCACTATTTCCAGGTATTTTTGCAGTAATTTTTCGTTAAATAATCAAGAGTTATCTAAATATACTATCAAATTTTCCAAAAGGAACTCACTTTAAATAAACCTAATATGAGTAGCAATAACTGCATGCCTTTTCCCTAGATTTAGATATTTCATTTTCACATGCGAAACTCTATACAAAATTCA